ATACAAGCGCATAGAAAGGCCTACCCTCCGCTCCGCAATATACTCATCGGCATCGCCTCTCGGGACCCTCAACATCGCACGCAACCCGCCCAACATCCCAACACCATCCTGGCCCAGCACAAGCTTTACTGGTAGCACCGGATGGACAAGCTTTACTGGTAGCACCGTCCCACCTCCCCCCGCCACTGGCCATGGCGGTGGGGAGGGAGATCAAGGTGAGGTGCGGAATGGAGGAAGAAAAGCTGCCATTGTGGCATGAGGCCTACGGGCCTACAAAAAAATAATAAATGTATATAAAAATATATACACAAAAAAATTAATTACTTCAACAACAAAAATTCAAAAAAATTTTTTTTTACTTCATTCTTTTAATTTCAACAACAACAAAAAATTCTTCAAAATTCTTTTTAAAAAAAAAATTTTTTTCTTTTATTAAAAAGTCAACAATGGAAAAATTTCCTTTTATTATTATACTAATTCTTCTACAATCAAAAAAAAAAAGAAATACTTTTCTTCAACAATTTTTTCAATAATCGGAAAAACAATTTTTTTTTCTTCCTCTTCAAAATTTCTTTAAAATTTTTTTTTACTTTCTTTAAAAACACTTTCAAAAAAATATATATATATTTTTTTTTATATTCTTTTCCAATCTTTAAAGTATCAATTAGTCAGAAGACATTACCCTAGACACAAAAAAAAAACCAAAGAAAAATGAGTTTTAGCTGAGTCATTGTCCATTCCAATAAAAAGATTTAAAAAAAGGTTGCGAACAACAATTTTTTTTTACACATAAAAGTGGGGAAAAGAGTAACGACTGAAAATTAAAAAAATAAATAAATAAAATCCTTTTTGTCTGTGTCATAAGATAGAAAGGAACGACTTTTATTCTTTTCCTTTTTTTTTCAAATAAAACATTTTTTATTTATTCCGTCTGTCTTCCAAAATACTTTCCACAAAATATATATATAGTTTTACACAAATATTTTTAAATATACATATAAATTAAAGTTGCAAATACCGGTTTTATTTAGGGAGAATTTTTTTTTAAATAAAATCGCTTATTTTCAATGTTGTTTTCGGGCTTCAAAATTTTCTAAGAACGGTTAATTTTCAAAAAATTTTTTTTTCAAAAACGCCAGCAACTCTAATAAAAACGTATAGGATATGATATATAAACATTACAATATATATATATTTTATTATTTTCTACAATATACTAAAATCATTGCTCAAAAAAGTTTTTATCAAACCATATTTCAAATGTTATAATCCCTTATTAAACGAACATAATATTAATTTTTCTCACAAAAATACTCGATTTATATATATATATATATTTTTTATTATTCTTATTATTTAAAACGACACTAATGAACACTTATATTAAATAGTCTAATAAATACAAAAAAAGGGACACATTTTCTAATCACCATTTCGCGCCGCAGGCGAAAATTTTTAAATTATCAATAAACGTGGGGGAATTTTTTAGCAGTTGGCTTCAGTTTTGGCTTTAAAATTACAAAATCAGAGGTCTCACAAAATTCAAAAAAAAATCACGAAACACCAAAAATAATACGAAACATAAGAAACAAATAATCGAAACGTTTCGTGTATGTATTGTTGGTACCTCTGTAATGACTCAGTCAAAATCCAAATTTTTTGGGGGTTTAAAAAATACGATCTGGCATTTTCGTACTTCAGGCGCATTCAACTGTCAAAAAACGCCAGAACGCATTGCAAAAGAAAACAAAACGCTAAAAACTAAAGAAACGCAAAACTGCTTTTCTATCAATTATTTAAAACTGCTTTTATCTATATTCAAATAAAGGTAATAAATTTGCTTATATATGGCTTTCTACTGCCCAATAAACGAATTTTTTTTACATTAAATTTTTCTTTTACTCAATGATTGTGTTAAAATCTATTGCTCTACAACAAATTTATTTTTAATTTTATTTGTTGGAGTTTTCAAATATTGCTCTAAAATCCATTGCTCTACTCAAAAAAAAAATTTTTTTTTTGTTTATTCGTGTTATCTTCCCCTAAATAATTCACTGTCAAACAATTTTGATTTTTTTATTATTTTCGTAACTCTCTTCAAAATTTTCGCGTTCATTATAAAATTCCTCTTTTACAATATTTCCCAAATCTTCTTTAAAGAATTTTGAATGTATGAACCAAAATTTTTTTTACATCCAATCCAAAAGGGGTCAAAGGTTCAAAAAAGAAAGTTAAAGCAAAGAGCAGGGGAAAGGGAAAAGAGCGGAAGTAAAGATAAACAATCACAATCTCAAAAAAAAGTGAAAAGTTTGTTGGGAAAACAACAGTGTAAAGTAAAAAGAAATTAATGGGAAAAAGGATAAGCATTTAAACATTTATCTAAACATTATGTTTGAGAAAAATTCAGTGTAAAGTGAAGATAAATTAATGGGAAAATGGTTAAAGGAAAGGATAAGCATCTAAACATTTATGTAAACATCCGTGAGGGATGAATAAGCATTCACAGTTATTTAAACATTTAAATGAAGAAGCATTTCAACATTTGTTTAACATTCATGTAAGCTGTAAGCAGGAGTCATTCTAATATTTAGAGATTCACTTTTAGTTCTCTTTAGCTTATAGCAAAGCTAACACTTAAGAATTTTTTTTTAATTTTTTTTATTTAAATTAAAGAATCAATTACAGATAAGAAAATTTAAAAGCTATCAGAAAGCAACAAAAGCAACGACTAATTTGTCTTCATGGTTGGTCCTGAAGACTCAAGCAACAAGGGCATTACGCCCGCGGGTACCAAGGTACCACAAAATTCTTCGTCTTCTTCCAGTTTGGAGGAAACGCCAATCAATGTAGTTGACAAGAAACTACTAATAGGTAAATCCAACACAGCTCAGCTGAAGATACAGGACCTGGAACAGGTATTTGGTGAAACAATACGTTTAGAGGAGGGTGTAAACCGCTCTATTCGACTCATGAGTCGCAAGGTAAACCAAAATTCAACAGGGTTAACTAAATTAGCTGAGGAGGTTAATCAAGGGTTTTCCACTTTGGGTGACAAAATTAATAGCTGTGAGCAAAACATTACTGAATTATCTAAAAGAAAGGCTAGGTCTGCCTCCCCAAATAAAATAAGGGTAGGACAACAAACATTAATGCCTCTTATTATTCCAGAACTAAATATTTCGAATCTTAGTGAAAATAATGACAATAATTGGGCTGATGAATCACAGGTGGATGGACAAGTCAGACACCCACCCATGACAACTGATGAAGGATTGCACACTCTCAACATGCTTCACCACGAAGGTATCCCGTCGCTTGAGGTATACTCTGATGATAATATTATATCATTTGATAAATGGGGAAAGAAATTTTTAGAAAGAATTAAGGTCTTTGGGGTAAAACTTTCAGAAGAAGAAAAACTTGCTCGCTTGTCTCTATTTTTGGAGGACACACCTAAAAGAATCTTTGAAGAATTGTCTCCAACTCAAAAATTAACGTGTGAAATGGCACTTCAAAGCATAAGAAAGGAGTTGGACTCTCCTCAACGACGTGCTCTCTCAAGGCAAGCGCTTTTAATGTGCCGACAACATGAAGGTGAGTCAGTCAAAGATTTCCTCTCACGCTTCAGACCTCTGGCAATGGCTACAGCTGCTGATATCTCTGGTCCAAACAAGGAACGATATCTGTGTGAACTTTTATTAGAACGTTTAAGACCAAACATAGCATTTTGTATGAAATTACTAAACTTTTCTCAGACAGATAGAGGTTTTGAACAATTATGCTTAGATCTTCGTGAAGTCGAAATCATGTTACCTGGAGGCACTGGATCAATGTTTGACATGCCAAATCAAGAAGTGCATGCAATGCAACAATCAAATTCCTTTAATGTACCAGGGAAGTTCCAATCACTGAATCCGACTAATCCAAATAGACAAAAGCTCGGTCAAAGGTGGGGACAAAGTCAAAATAGAAATGATTTTCAAAATAATCGAAATAATTTTGGAGAATTTAGGCAAAACAACCTTCGACGAGACATGAACTATCGTGACACAAGACAAATGCGAACACCAACTAATGATCGACGATGGAACAACAGACCTATTTGTAATTACTGCTCGAAAGTTGGTCACTTTGCAAATGTATGTCGCACCAGAATTGCAGACTTTCAAACACAACGTGGTCAAAGCCGAAGGGAACCAGATGTTGGTACATCAAATATGCCCAATGATAGTGGTATGCTAAAAGAAATATTATCAACCCTAAGGAACATGCAGGTGGGAAGTTCTAAAAATAATGGATCCCCACAAAATGTTAATCTCCTACATGGTAAAACAAAGCCAATAAACGAGGAACCCGAAGAAAAACAATTAAATGTTAAGAAGGAAAAACTTTTTATTGTCTCTTGGGAACCTTTTAAATTAAGTCCCAAACTACTCCCAATGGTAATTCTGGTATTAGCGCTAGCAACACCGCTGCAGGCAATTGAAAAATTATCAATTCCACAGTACCCAATGATATGCCAAACTGAAAAACAGTCTACTTTATGGTCTCTTCCTGACATGACAGACTGTCCAATACCCGCTCCAAATATTTCTCATGTACCAATTTCACAAACTAGAAATGTATATATGTTAAATGACTTAGAGTACACAACCCAAGGATGGGCTTGTAAAAAAATAAGAAAAACTCTTAGAAAATTTACAACCCTTTCTAATGTACCAATCAATGAACCTGTAGGCTCAGAAATTCTCCCAGTAGATGAACAAGAATGTAAGAGAATGATTAAAAATAAAGAATGTAGTCTAGGTAAATTAATTGAAGAAAATGATCTTTGGACCACTTCAAATAAAATAGACGCGAGTCCGAAAATGTGGTTTATAGGATCGTTTTGGTGGACCGAGGTCAAATCCGAAAATTGCTTATTATTTAGTGTACAAATTAATTCCCATTGGGGTGAAGAAGGTATAGGAACCTCATTTGGGGAAAGTAATAATTGCTCCTATTCGAAGGGTCTTTGTGTATTAAGTGACAATACTGTACTAAAATGGGAACCCACAAAGGATAGAATGTGTCGATATATCAAGATTGGGACTTGGGAAGGAAAATTTTTAGATAACACCTGGTTGTCGGATGACGCACAATTAGCACTTCATTTCGCTAAACCAACTCCAAAATTTTGGGATTGCAGTAACATTCTAGAAATTTCCGAACAAGGACTAGCTACAGTTACTAGGAGTCGCTCTAAAAGAAGCGTCAGTAACCAAAAACTTAGCTTAGTAACATCACCTGAAATGGCAGCGAAGCTAACATATTTAGACAAAGAAATGGCTGACACTCTAACATTTACTTTCACGCATTCGCTTAAAACCTTTTGCCAAAATTTGGATCTAGTTAAGAAATGGGCACTTGCTGCATATTTGTCCAACCCAACGGGCTTAGCTAGAATGATATTTGAAAATGACTATGTCACGGCAAAACGAGAAGGGTCATCACTACTGCGTGTATGGCCATGTATACCAATTAAAAATGACGAGTACTCTTTCAAAGCTACTAATCTTAGCGAATGTTTCGACTTAATCCCAATTCAGTTCAAAGCAGAAAGTCGGGAACACTTAGCATTCCTTAATCCACTAACCATGACAATTGAGCCCACAGCTCGAAAAGCACCTTGTTCAATATATGGGAAAACAATTGTAGAAATAAATCATGAGGTACTAGAAGTAAACCAGACCTCAGGGGAATTTAGAAAAATTCAACCTCGTCCAATCAATTTAAGGGAACTCAAATCCTACAGTATACCTGAAATAAAATCACACTCATTCCATCAATTAATGCTAGTAAATCTCACGGATCTCAAAACGCATACATTCATGAGTAACCTAGTCCGTGCAAGCGAAATTTCATATCGCATTGAACAAAAAGATATGCATATAGTAAAAACGCTCTCTGATCAATGGAAAGAGGCAGGAAATAGTCTCGTTACTGAAATTATTGGGGACTATACATGGATTTGGAAGGTCATAATATCAATTTTAATAGCCATATTAACTCTAGATTTAGTAATAAGATGGGGAATTAAAGCAGCAGAAAATTATTTAGGACAAGGACAGTTAGGAAATATGCTATTTGGTCAAAGTCGAAATATAATTAACAGAGCTAGACAGACAAGCATTAACAGAAACACAGAAGAGATTCCAATGGTCAAAGTTAACAAAAATCCTGAGTTTAAAAGAGAAAAAACTCCAAGTGTAAGGTCACAAAGACGAAAAATGTCTTGGATCCCAAAGGTTTCTAAATTTCCTCAATCGGTAGAAACTGAAGGTCACACTGTAAATGTCATGAGAGCAAACAAAATGTGTGATAAAAAGCTGTCGAAAGACATGGATGCCACGGCATCACAAAATTTTTCTATAAATACCCTACAGTCATGTCCCACAATAACTGGGGTGTTTATAAACAACAAAGCAGTAAAATGTTTAATTGATACAGGTGCGAGCATATCGATTGCTCCTATCTCACTTGCAAGGACTTTAGGACTAAACCTAACACCAGCAACAATTAGCATAACGTCTGCCTCTGGGCATGAAATTAATGTATTAGCTCAAGCTGAAGTATTACTAGAAATTGCGGATACTAAATTACCTGTAACTATAAGAGTGGTTGAAGACAATCAAATTACAGGAAATAGAACATACCAATTAATTATAGGATGTGACATTCTAAAAAGACTTCCGCCAATAACATTCGATTTTAATAAAGGAAAAATTAATTTTGAAAACAAATTTAATTATTCAGATAAAAATAAGTCAAAGTCAAAAAACATGCGTGTAGCAGCTATTGAAGCTAAAACAATTTTACCAGGAAAACACGGACTTGTCTCAGTGAAAATTAAAACTAATGGTGGAGAAAAATTGGCACTTGTACACTCACTGGACCAAAGGCTTGAGAAGGACCATCTTGCACTCATTGAAGCAGTGGTCGCACCAAATGCAAAAGAAAACAAAATTTTGATTGCCAATCCAACAACTGAACCAAAGCACATATGTAAAGGAATGCACATTGCTCTGGCTGATGAGGTTTGGTCAATTAATGAACAGCCATGGTTAACACAGGTAGAAAACATTAATGTCAATGAACATGTAAACACTGTAGAAGCAAATCCGACATTCAAGGTAGATTTTTCCAAAAGCTCAGTACAGGGGGAAGATAGACAAAAATTAGAAAAATTGTGTGAAGAATTTTCTGATGTATTTAGTAAAACACAATATGATCTAGGGTCATGTATAGCAGGTGAATATGACATTATTACCACAACTGAGGAACCTATAACATCTAGGCCACATAGAGTTCCATTTAAATACCGAGAAGAACTTCAGAAACACATTGAAGCACTTTTAAAATCTGGAGTAATGGTTAAATCAGACACTCCATGGGTATCGAACATAGTTCTAGTACAAAAGAAAGACGGAGGTTTAAGACCCTGCATTGATTTTAGGAAGCTTAACGAAGTAACAGTCCCAGACCACTTTCCTCTTCCGCGATTAGAATCAATAATGGAAAGGATAGGAAACTGCAACTATTATTCCTCACTAGATTTGTCAAGCGGTTACCTACAGATTAGATTAACAGAAAGAGCTTCTAGAAAATGTGGAGTAATAATGGAAGATGAGATATACCAAATGACACACATGCCTTTTGGACTAAGGAACGCAACAAGCGCATTTGCGAGAGTAATGGCGCATGTAATAAGCGGATTAGATGAGTGTGTTCTAGCATATGTAGATGATTTCCTAGTCTTTACAAAATCTCCAGACTTTGATAAACATTTAAATGCATTAAGGCAGGTCTTTACCAGATTAAGAAAGTATTTTCTAAAAATAAGTCCCAAGAAATGCATATTTGCCTCAAGGGAAATGAATTTCTTAGGATACACAATAAATGCCAAAGGGTACACTCCCAGTATCGCTAAAGTTGAAACAATAAATAATTTACCTGCACCCACCACTGTCAAAGAAGTTAGGCAAGCTATAGGCATGGCATCATTTTTCAGAAAGCATATTCAAAACTTTTCGCTAATAGTTGAACCTCTCACAAAGCTTACTAGGAAGGAAATCGAATTCCATTGGGGTGACGAACAACAGCAAGCATTTGATAAAATCAAGAAAATTTTAACTAGTCAACCAGTTCTTGTATTTCCGGATTACGAAAAACCTTTCCACATATTCACCGATGCGTCCCTTACTGGACAGGGAGGCGCTCTAATGCAAAAAGATATTGAAAATAATACATATAAAGCAATCGCGTACTGTAGCAGGACTCTAACAATTTCAGAACGCAAATGGGCACCCGTCCAAATCGAACTGGGCGCCATAATATTTTCTTTAAGACAATTCAGACCTTTTATTTATATGGCTGAAATAGAACTGCACACAGATCATAAACCTCTTGCGTACCTACTAAAGAAAGCAGATGCAAGTCCAAATTTAGCACGCTGGCTTATAGAATTGCAAAATTACAATATCAAAATTGTACACATAGCTGGTAAAGAAAATCTACTCGCTGATGCACTCTCACGATTGCAAAATCAACCAGAAGAAGAGCAAACTGAATTAGAAGACATTGCAGAATTCCCAGTTTGTTTCACGCTCCCTATAAAAGATGGGCTTATTAATGAACATTACGCTTCAGTGTTAACACTTAGGAAAGAAAATGAAAATTATGCTATAGACATTAAGCAAGAACAAGAAAATGACATGGAAGCTGCAGACTATATTAAATTTATAAAAACCGGGGAACTCCCAGAAGACATATCACCCAATGATCAGGAGAAATTCGTATTAAATGCTGAAAACCTGAGAATTATAGGGGATATACTATGTCACAAACTTCCGAATTTAAAACCAAGAATATTCGTACCATCGTCACTCAGGGCTCTTATTTTTGACTCATTTCACTCCTCACAACTAGGGGGTGGACATATGAACTTGAAAAAGACCCTCAAGAAGTGTAGAAAATATTATTGGCCAAGAATGCACGCTGATATTTTAACTTGGACACGAAATTGCATAACTTGTCAACTTAGACACTCACCCAATCCACCATACAGGGCAGAAATGCAAATGGTACCAGTAAACACACTATTTGCTAAAGTAGGGTTAGATCTTGCAGGACCATTCCCATTAACGCAAAATGGCAATAAGCATGTAATGAATATAATTTGCTGGTTCACTAAATACGTTATTTCAGTACCGGTACCAGACACTAAAGCAATGACTCTAGCAAGAGCATTTCTCAATAATTGTTATTTAAAATATGGTGGCTGCGTAGAACTAGTAACTGACAATGCCACAGCTTTCACAAGCGAATTCTTTAAGGACTTCTGCTCAATGTTATACATTAATAAAAGCTATGCCACACCACACTGGTCTCAAGGAAACTCAGTGACTGAAAGATCCTTTAGAACATTCCATAATATTCTCTCCAAGTACATAAGTAAGGATCAACCAGATTTTGACGAATTTTTAGACTGCGCATGCTTCTGTTATAACACTTCGATACACACGTCGACAGGTGAAACGCCATTCTTTCTCATGTTTGGTCGTGATCCTATCTTTTGCGTAGACCAAATACTAGACCCGTCAGTGTACAGTCCTGTTGCGTTTACAGACATTTCCGAATTTAAGCAAAGACTAATCACTTCACTTAGATGCGCCTGGGAGGCTGCAGATGAAGCAAATAAGCAAGCACAGTTAAGAGCAAAGACTCAATATGACAAATTAGTAAGAAATCCCACAGTCACAGTAGGAGATAGAGTATTACTCAGAAACTATGCAGGGAAAATAGGAACTTCTAAGAAATTTCATATGCCTTGGAAAGGTGTATTTAGAGTAGTAAAAATTGAAGGAGTACATGTCACAATAGTAAGTTGTAACTCACCTCAGGGTACATCCAGAAAAGTGCATATAAATCAACTAAAGAAGTGTTTTGAAGCACTAACACCCGCTTGTACAGTACCTGAATTATCGAGTGATGAAGAAAAAGCTCTGGCAAGAGCTGAAGAAAACGAAAGTATTGAAAATGAAAATATTTCCCAAGAAATCGAAACTCCCGATATACAGGAAAATCAAAACTCAAATACTGAAATAGTAGAAAAGAACACTTACAAGAAATATAATTTACGAGAAAATCCCAAAAAGAAGAAGTTTTCCTTTTGAAAAAAATAAAACTTATAGGGGTCATACATTCAAAACTCTCATTCTATTCATCTAATTTCACTTAATCAATCTTTTAATTTTTATTCTTCTAACAAAATCATTTAAAACTATTTCAATTAATCAATTTTCTTTATTCGCGTATTTTATCTCACATTTAATTTTTTTTTACATAACCGCGTGTTTAACTCACATTTAATTTTTTTTTCTCTCCCAATTTAAAATTTTTTTAAATTTTTTTTTTTCAATTTTCAGTTATAAATGGACAATCAAAATGTTAGAAAACGTGGCCGCGGTCATTTCTATTTCAAAACTGAGAAAAATGAAACAACAACAACAAATAAAGCTGGTCCTTTGACCATGGAATCCACGGATTCAAAAAGCTTAAATAAAAATGATGGTCTGTTGACCATGGAATCCACGGATTCAAAAACTCTAAATAAAACTGCTGGTCTTTTGACCATGGAATCCACGGATTCAAAAAACTCAAATAAAAATGCTGGTCTTTTGACCATGGAATCTACGGATTCAAAAAACTTAAACAAAACTGCTGGTCTTATGACCATGGAACCTACGGGTTCACAAAAACCAAAATCAACCACACAGACAAGTGTGGAAGAAGAGGAAGCCTTCCAAAAGATCATGGAAGATGCTGAAAAAGAAGAAAGACAAGAAATTTCTGAAAGTATGGAAAAGCTTATTCTTGAAGAAGATATGGAAATAAACGAGGAAAATGAAGATGAACAAATGGAGGAAGGCGAAATAAACGAATCTGAATGGGCCCAATCGTCTTCTAACTGGGAAAACCCGAATAAAGAAGAATCATTTGCTAATAAAGCTTTTGAAAATCAAGAATGGCAAGAAGTAAAATCAAAATCTGCCAAGAAGAAAGAAGAAATTGAAGCCGAAGCCATAACTGCAAGTCGAAAGAAGAGATACGTGATTTCTCAAGTGCAAGAGAAACGATCAATCGCAGTTATTCCCAACCCCGAAAAATTATCGATGTGGCCTTTTGCAATTGAAATTCCCGATGAACTAACAACCGATCTTGAACGTCCATTATTTCCAGGAGATTCAATATTTGTAAATAAATTTGCATGGATTGAAGGAAGAAGACAAGTTACTATTGACAACTGGTATAGGAAGGAAACAGGAATGCTAAGTTACCAAGCCACAGCATTAATGATTGATGTAACTCACTTTCCTTATTGGACTACCAAAACGGGAATTATTGTATATTTGAAGAAGAAAGAAGGCAAAGCAGCGTTAGCTCGTGTGACAGCATATGGAATGGAGAGATCTGGAATGCTATACGCAAAACAATGCAGACACGGTCTTGACTTATCAAAAACACGGCTATCAGAATTTGTAAATCTAAAATTAGCTCCAATCCCAGCTGGTTGGATGATAGGAACAAATTATATAGTTCCACCCGGAGGATCATATAGACTCGGAACAGAAATTATGGCTAAAGAAGGATCTCAAATCTTAGCCTGTGCTGAACCGTTCACTGAAAGATGGCGCTGGCTAACAAAAACAGGACTTCCGAAAGTATTTCCTATTGATAAGGATTATACGTTGAAGGAGATGAAGTTAGCTGAAGACATAATCGCAGCAGCATTAATTATGGAAACCAGTTATTTCGGAGTAGTTAAACCGCTTGAAGATGAAAAGAAGAGAACATTCACGATTAACCACATACACGAACAAAAAGCCCACATAGCTAAAGTACTCAGTATTTGGACAAAAGATACACCAGTAACTGCTAAAACTGGTTTTGAAAGGAAAGCATTTGCTAACGGTTACATAAAAGAAGTATTTAAATGTGACCGAGACGACGGTCTACTGCAAATTGAAGTTAATATAATTCTAGTCCCGAATGAAGGTCTTTATGAACACGATGAAGACTTTGAAGCTATGACACACGGAATGTTAACAATTATTCAAGTTGCCGAAACACCCGGCGGATACCGCGATCAAGCCGATACTTTTGGCCTACATACCCCAACTCAATTAATTAAAGAAGAAAAATCTCCACGAACTGAAATACTCAAGGCGCTATACTTTCTATGCGCTTGTATAATGCTGGTCGGTTACGAGACCGACTTGCCCGGGAACTGATTAATAAGCTCTTGGCTTCTTCTGCAGGATTAATGAATAAGCTCTCAGCTTCTTCGGCCGGTTATTCACTTCTCTATTGATTACTTTCCAACTGACTGGTGAACAGTCGACTGATCCCTTTTTCACTATTTTCCGCTTAGTTTTATCCTAAGGCCTTATTTGTCATTCTCCTCCCCTTATTCAATCCTTTCCCAGAGGAACTAAAGATCCTTTTCTCCATCCTTGCCCATCCGGATCAAAGTACGCCTTACACCTCCAACCCCGGGGAAGACCGTCCCTTGGTCTTTTCTTAATTTCTCAAATTTTCAATTTTATTTTCATTTTTATTTTTAAACCCACCACAATTTACAGTTTTACCATGTGCCCCAAGTTTGTGCCTCATCTTCTATCTTCTTCTTCTCTCATCTTCTTCTACAGTCTCTTGCCAAGTGTCCGGGATTTCCGCATCTGTTGCAAATCATTTTTCCTCTTCCTGTTCTTAGTTCACCACCACGTATTAGTTTAACTTCTTCTACTTTAGCTTCAATTGACCTTCCTTTTAAATCATTGAGTATTCCATTCGAGTCGCGTGTTGGTTCTTCATTTTCCATAACCTCCAAATAGCGTTCGTCAACAAAGGGAGTGTGTTGTTTTGCCGCAGTGATGAATCTTCTCCACGTCTCGCCTTCTCGTATAGCTTCAAAATCGGCAATAATGATTAGTCCACTTTGTGCCCTGGACAACGCTACGGTGGCGCGTCTGCTATCCTTCAAAAAGTCAGAGGCATCTGCGCGAGCTGCTGATCCAGGCGATTTAGTGCTCGTTGTTACAAGAATGATTAAACGGTGCTCGCGGCTTTGAAACGCATCTACAGAGTTCACAGATACCTGTAGATTTTCTTGGTAGAGTCTTTCTCTTATCTTTTCGCATTGGTACGTGTATAGACATATAATGGCAACACCTTGAGGATCTCGGTGCTCCAGCGCTTTTGCAATTATAATAGCTGCCTCAGTCTGTTCAGGTGAAGAAAGTGAGTAGGATGCGCTGTCCTGCTCTATTGTGCCTCTTATATTCAAAAGTATGAGTGGAACGTTATTCACCGGAAGATTTATTCCAAGCTTTGTCAATCCTGTGCGCTTTGATGCGGGAACTGCAGCGATTACTCGTTCGTCGTGTTTTTCATACGAGGAATAGTTGAAGCATTCAGTTATAATGGGATGCGAGCGGTAACATCGTTCCAAAATGGTGACTGATACTCTTTCGCAATTATCCATTTGATCAGTCACGCTTTCAAGACCGTAACCGCTTTGAATTACTTCTGGTAGTTCTTTCAAATGCGTGCCCAATTGACGGACGTCCCCCGTCAAGAGAACAGACCGGACAAGTGGTAATTTGCAAAGGAGGTGAACCATCATGGAGAAGCTTGTCTGAGTAACCTCGTCGATTATGAGGTGAGTGGTTGATACATGAGCGCGTGGAATTCCTAAACACATGTAGATGGTTCCGAAGATCGCATTTTTGAACTCACGAGCCAGATAAATTTCTCCTACTTTCCTTTCTTTGGTGTGTCGTGGTTTATCTTTGATGTGTGCCAGGTAATCCGTTACGTCTCTCTTCTCAGAACCTTCTAACTTCTCTACAAATTCTCCTTTTATTTTATTTTCAAGTTGGTGTTCTCTAAGTAACAGTATTTGATCTCCATATCGGATGCGTGCTGTCGAGGCGAAGAATGCCAACATCTCACTGCCAAGATTGATTTGGGCACTTTCATCGATCAACTTGCTCACAGGCAAGTTTGAATTTGCCGTGGCCAAGACTGCAATTTTCGGGTCCTTCTTCAGAGCTGCGGCTATACATGCGGCTGCCAGGCGCGTTTTTCCTGTACCTGGGGGCGCCTGCTGGTAATGTAGGCGCCCCCTTCCTTCATGCAGCCAATTAGAGAGTGTATTTTGCTGTTCTTCATTTAAACTTTTTACACACTCTAATTCCTTCGGAATATCACCTCCAACCACCGAATCGTCCGTCCCTGGACGACCGAATAGCGCCTTGAGTATTTCAGTTCGTGGAGATTTTTCTTCTTTAATTAATTGAGTTGGGGTATGTAGGCCAAAAGTATCGGCTTGATCGCGGTATCCGCCGGGTGTTTCGGCAACTTGAATAATTGTTAACATTCCGTGTGTCATAGCTTCAAAGTCTTCATCGTGTTCATAAAGACCTTCATTCGGGACTAGAATTATATTAACTTCAATTTGCAGTAGACCGTCGTCTCGGTCACATTTAAATACTTCTTTTATGTAACCGTTAGCAAATGCTTTCCTTTCAAAACCAGTTTTAGCAGTTACTGGTGTATCTTTTGTCCAAATACTGAGTACTTTAGCTATGTGGGCTTTTTGTTCGTGTATGTGGTTAATCGTGAATGTTCTCTTCTTTTCATCTTCAAGCGGTTTAACTACTCCGAAATAACTGGTTTCCATTCTACCAACTTCTTCATTTTCCGCTGCAGTAATTAATGCTGCTGCGATTATGTCTTCAGCTAACTTCATCTCCTTCAACGTATAATCATTATCAATAGGAAATACTTTCGGAAGTCCTGTTTTTGTTAGCCAGCGCCATCTTTCAGTGAACGGTTCAGCACAGGCTAAGATTTGAGATCCTTCTTTAGCCATAATTTCTGTTCCGAGTCTATATGATCCTCCGGGTGGAACTATATAATTTGTTCCTATCATCCAACCAGCTGGGATTGGAGCTAATTTTAGATTTACAAATTCTGATAGCCGTGTTTTTGATAAGTCAAGACCGTGTCTGCATTGTTTTGCGTATAGCATTCCAGATCTCTCCATTCCATATGCTGTCACACGAGCTAACGCTGCTTTGCCTTCTTTCTTCTTCAAATATACAATAATTCCCGTTTTGGTAGTCCAATAAGGAAAGTGAGTTACATCAATCATTAATGCTGTGGCTTGGTAACTTAGCATTCCTGTTTCCTTCCTATACCAGTTGTCAATAGTAACTTGTCTTCTTCCTTCAATCCATGCAAATTTATTTACAAATATTGAATCTCCTGGAAATAATGGACGTTCAAGATCGGTTGTTAGTTCATCGGGAATTTCAATTGCAAAAGGCCACATCGATAATTTTTCGGGGTTGGGAATAACTGCGATTGATCGTTTCTCTTGCACTTGAGAAATCACGTATCTCTTCTTTCGACTTGCAGTTATGGCTTCGGCTTCAATTTCTTCTTTCTTCTTGGCAGATTTTGATTTTACTTCTTGCCATTCTTGATTTTCAAAAGCTTTATTAGCAAATGATTCTTCTTTATTCGGGTTTTCCCAGTTAGAAGACGATTGGGCCCATTCAGATTCGTTTATTTCGCCTTCCTCCATTTGTTCATCTTCATTTTCCTCGTTTATTTCCATATCTTCTTCAAGAATAAGCTTTTCCATACTTTCAGAAATTTCTTGTCTTTCTTCTTTTTCAGCATCTTCCATGATCTTTTGGAAGGCTTCTTCTTCTTCCACACTTGTATGTGTGGTTGATTTTGGTTTTTGTGAACCCGTAGGTTCCATGGTCATAAGACCAGCAGTTTTGTTTAGAGTTTTTGAATCCGTGGATTCCATGGTCAACAGACCAGCATTTTTATTTAAGCTTTTTGAATCCGTGGATTCCATGGTCAAAGGACCATCATTTTTATTTAAGCTTTTTGAATCCGTGGATTCCATGGTCAAAGGACCAGCTTTATTTGTTGTTGTTGTTTCATTTTTCTCAGTTTTGAAATAGAAATGACCGCGGCCACGTTTTCTAACATTTTGATTGTCCATTTATAACTGAAAATTGAAAAAAAAATTTAAAAAAATTTTAAATTGGGAGAGAAAAAAAAAATTAAATGTGAGTTAAACACGCGGTTATGTAAAAAAAAATTAAATGTGAGATAAAATACGCGAATAAAGAAAATTGATTAATTGAAATAGTTTTAAATGATTTTGTTAGAAGAATAAAAATTAAAAGATTGATTAAGTGAAATTAGATGAATAGAATAAGAGTTTTGAATGTATGACCCCTATAAGTTTTATTTTTTAAAAGGAAAACTTTTTCTTTTTTGGATTTTCTCGTAAATTATATTTCTTGTAAGTGTTCTTTTCTACTATTTCAGTATTTGAGTTTTGATTTTCCTGTATATCGGGAGTTTCGATTTCTTGGGAAATATTTTCATTTTCAATACCTTCGTTTTCTTCAGCTCTTGCCAGAGCTTTTTCTTCATCACTCGATAATTCAGGTACTGTACAAGCGGGTGTTAGTGCTTCAAAACACTTCTTTAGTTGATTTATATGCACTTTTCTGGATGTACCCTGAGGTGAGTTACAACTTACTATTGTGACATGTACTCCTTCAATTTTTACTACTCTAAATACACCTTTCCAAGGCATATGAAATTTCTTAGAAGTTCCTATTTTCCCTGCATAGTTTCTGAGTAATACTCTATCTCCTACTGTGACTGTGGGATTTCTTACTAATTTGTCATATTGAGTCTTTGCTCTTAACTGTGCTTGCTTATTTGCTTCATCGGCAGCCTCCCAGGCGCATCTAAGTGAAGTGATTAGTCTTTGCTTAAATTCGGAAATGTCTGTAAACGCAACAGGACTGTACACTGACGGGTCTAGTATTTGGTCTACGCAAAAGATAGGATCACGACCAAACATGAGAAAGAATGGCGTTTCACCTGTCGACGTGTGTATCGAAGTGTTATAACAGAAGCATGCGCAGTCTAAAAATTCGTCAAAATCTGGTTGATCCTTACTTATGTACTTGGAGAGAATATTATGGAATGTTCTAAAGGATCTTTCAGTCACTGAGTTTCCTTGAGACCAGTGTGGTGTGGCATAGCTTTTATTAATGTATAACATTGAGCAGAAGTCCTTAAAGAATTCGCTTGTGAAAGCTGTGGCATTGTCAGTTACTAGTTCTACGCAGCCACCATATTTTAAATAACAATTATTGAGAAATGCTCTTGCTAGAGTCATTGC